TAGATGTCGTTATATATATAGCAACAATAGTGTAGTTTAGAAATATTTTATTTATACATTTATATCCAATTGATATATCCATATATTACTATTTTTCCTACCTGATATTATATAAATAAATAAATAAATAAATAAATAAAAAAAAACATCTATTATATTATACTTGTATCAAAATTTTTATTACAATTTTGATCAAAGATGTCTTAGCAACTACTTAACCAAATTTGATAAAAATTTTTTTATTTAATTCTACAGATCTGTATAATTCAGATAAAAAATCTTTTATTAAATTTAATCAAGTTGTTGTTGAGATATCTTTGATCAAATTATTTTTTAAATTTTAAAACATCTATTATAAAAATTGTATCAAAATTTTTATTACAACTTTGATTGAAAATATCTTAACAATAACTTGATTAAATTTGATAAAAATTGTTTTATTTGAATTCTACAGATCTGTAGAATTCAAATAAAAAAATTTTTATTATTTTGATTAAATTTGTTGAGATACCTTTGATCAAAGTTATTTTTTCAAATTTTAAAACATTTATCACATAATACTTGTATTAAAATTGTTAATAAAATTTAATCAAAAATATCTTAGCAATTACTAAATCAAATTTGATAAGATTTTTTTATTTAAATTTTACAGATCAGTAGAATTTAGATAAAAAAAGTTTATCAAATTTTATCAACTAGTTATTGAAATAACTTTAATTAAAGTTATTTTCAAATTTTAAAATATTTAATATATAATACTTATATCAAAATTTTTATCATAATTTTAATAAAAGATATCTTAGTAACTACTAATCAAATTTGATGAAAATTTTTTTATTTGAATTCTATAGATTTGTAGAATTCAAAAAAGAAATTTCATTGAATTTGATCAAATAGTTGCTAAGATACCTTTGATCAATTTTTTTTCTAAATTTTAAAATATCTATTACAAAAACTGTATCAAAGTTTTATCACAACTTTGATCAAAGATATCTTAGCAATGACTTGATCAAATTTAATAAAAAGTTTTTTATTTAAATTCACAGATCTGTAGAATTCAAATAAAAAAATTTCATCAAATTTAATTAAGTTATTGTCAAGATATCTTTAATCAAAGTTGTGATAAAAATTTAATACAATTTTTTGTAATAGATATTTTAAAATTTAGAAAAAATTTAATCAAAAGTATCTTATTAACCACTTGATTAAATTCAATAATTTTTTTATCTAAATTTTCAAATTTATAGAATTCAAATAAAAAAATTTTTATTGAATTTGATAAAGTAGTTGCTGAAATATCTTCAATCAAAGTTGTAATAAAAATTTTTTTATTTTTTATTTTTTTTATTTATATAATATTAGAGTAGAAACTTTATAAATATATAGAAGAATTTTTATACTAAGGATTTCTAACTACATTTGTACTACTTAATTAAGAATATTTTTTTTAAGACACCCAATGTAACATTACATCTCCTATTTTCTAATAAATATTATAGTCGATTAATTTATCAATTTCTAGCTAAGATAGGTTAAAGAAGATCTAAAATGTTTGTCCTATTATTATATAAAGCAGAAAGTTAGTGAGTAACCTTGAAAAAGCCATTTTTTAATGGCAGAAAAATTGTTATTAAGTTGAATTGTAGTTGAGTTTGTATTAAATAGTAGGGTTATAGTAGGTAAAAAGAGTTTATTGCATTTGCTTTTAGAGGTAATATTATAGGCAGTTTCTTATTAGTATTATGCAATATTATAAAAGAACCAGATTTTGTTAAAGAACCAAGATAGAAGATTATTGGATAAGTTTATAAGAAGAGATATAGTTTGTTTATCTATAAATATTTTAATATTGTTAAAAGTTGTATTGGATATAATGCTAATAAGAAGGTTTAAAATATGATAATATTGTGGATTAGTTGTATTGAGTGTGAAATGGAGTATTGTATTTAGAAAAGTAGATGATGAAATAAATAAAATATTAAGTGTTGTTAGAGTATTATCAATTGTGTTAAGAAGTATTTGTTGTATGTTTAGATTATTTTTGTTATATTGTAGTATATATAAAGTATCTTCTATATTAGAACATTGACAACAAGTTGGAGTAGTATATAGGTATAGGTAGCATATATTTAAGTTTTGCATAGTGGATAAGTTATTTAATAGAATTTTGATGCAAAAAGAGTAAAGTTGTAGATTATGTTCCAAGAAGTTTAATATTTTAAACATTAGGGACTATTCAATATTAGGTATATTATTAAAAAATTTAAGTAATGACTATGTGTTAAGTTCATTGATTATAATAATATTTTTAATGAATTTACGAATTTTAAGAGAGATAAGATGGTTATTTCATAAGAAATATATAGGTGGGTTAAAGAAAGTGGTTTGTAAAGGATCGATGATCTCTCTCTTCTGACCATCATGTTTAGGAAAGAGAGTAATTTTGAAAAAACAAAATACATGCTACTTAGGACCTTACTTACTTTAAAAACAGTAGCAGAACAGGGGCTCTTCCTCTTGTTCCTAGAAAGCACAAGACTTTTACTTTAGAAGTCTATAGAAACAAGAAAATTAAATTGGCAACAAACTTTTCGACAAAAAAACAACTAGTAAAAACGAAAATTAAATCTTTTCTTAAAGAAAATACTATGGCAACAGAAACCAGTCAAGAAGTTTTTACTGACCCTATGCAAGACGACTCATTAGATAATATTAGTTGGAATAAGCAAGTTACTTTAGAAAACAAAAAAAGGGCTTTTGAAGAAAAGAAGAACCAAGATAGCAGTACAATCATATCTAACTCTGAGATGCGTTCTGAAAGTCTAAATAATAAAGAAAACAAAACAACAACAACATCACGTTCTGAACAAAACAACACGTCTTTTGCAAAAGCTAATATTGCAGGTATAAACAAATACAAGGAAGTCTTGAGTAAACCATGGTCAAGCTTATTTGCAAAAGTTAAGAGAGGTCAATCAACCTTTTCTTCATTCTCACCAAAAAACAGCATAAGGTCTAAAAATGATAATGCACTCATATTAGATATCTATAACCTTAATAGTTCTCTAAATGAAATTATGATTTCTCTTTATGAGACAGCAGGACAAGACATAATCGCTGCTAAGCCACATGTCAATAAAGGATCTCGTACCCACCTAGAACTAATTTTTACAAATGAAAAAAAGCTCAAATATTATGCTACTAAAGGTGTTGAAATTTTTAATCACACATATTATAGACATATTCCTGTTGATACCAGAAGATCCTTTTTGCCAGTGAAGATCAGAAATGTCTCTTTAGGTGACAAAAATTTTATTTCAGAAAGAATCAAAGTTGCTTTTGAGAACTTTGGTAAAATTGCTTCAATTAAGGCATTGTAAATAGAAGGCACACCTTATCTAATCGATCAGTGGATTGTTACCTTCAAGACTACAAAAAATTCAGATTTAGAAAAAAAGATCCCTTATTTCTATATTATTCTTGATAACAAAGTTACCACAGAATGGCGTGCAGCTCCCAAGCTTTGCTACTTCTGCGACAATGAAGGACATATTAAAAAGGACTGCATGCAATACAAAAAGGCTCGTCGACAATATAAAGAATTTCTTTCTAATAAAACAAAAGAAAAACATCTATTAGTAGATTTAGAAAACATAAATACAAATCAGCAAGAACAAAGCAAGTCTATGGAAGAAGTAGATATAGAAGAACTCCAATCAGAGGAAATCCTTCGTAATACTATCGATGCCAAAGAAAATGAAGAAATGAGTAATTATATATCAATAGAAAATGACCAAGATAGTCTAATTGATGAATTCATCAATAATACTAGCAATAAAGCTTCTGTGATAAAAAATTCAACCTCAATTCCACTTATGGAAATAGAAGAACCAAAATCTCACAGCTCTCCAGTAGTGCTAATCACAAATGAAAATACTTTACAATACCAACCTTACTATACCACCTTTTAACCAACTACTTTCTCAAATAAACTTAAATACTCAGGATATTCAACTAATACAACAAACAACTAACTCTACCAACTATTAAAATCAACTTATCAACCTCAACTCTCTTTTACAAAATCTATATTTAACAGAACTTAACTTCTATACAGATGCTTTTATTTAAAACCTAAAAACATCTTCTATAAGGTCTGGTATTGGATGAATCTGTAAAGAAAATACTTCTATCAAATTCAATGCAGCAACTCAACCTTCTTCTGATTCTACGCACATAGAACTAATATCAATCATATCTATCCTACTTGCTATACTCTTTAATATTTTACTTAATATTTATATTGACAATTTAACAGCTATCAAAAATATTATTTCATTTACTTTGACCAAATTAATTCAACAAAAAAACTGGGACATTCTGCTTAAAATTAACTCTCTAAAAACAATTAAAAATATTAATCTTAATCTTATTAAAGTTAAATCTCATTCTATGAATTTATTTTACAATCAAGCTGATTTACTAGCAAAACAAAGCATTAACAAATCTATTTTAAAAATACAAACCACTTTTTTTTTTTTTGAATATCTCTGTTGCTTTAGCAACTAAGAGCACAGATGGTGCTCTTTATTAAAATATTATTATATAAAAATATTATGAACAGTCTATATATATTTTAAATATTTACAAATTAGTTTGGCAGTTTTAGGTCTATGACCTAGTAAGTTGTGTTTTAAAACACATATTTCCTTTGAAATACAGGCTTTAATTAGTATACCAAGTGAGCTTAAAGGAGTATCA